TTTCTGAGTGTTTTATGTGCTGCAGAACAGGAACCTGCTGTAAAACAGCAATTATGCTGAGTCAGGCTTGATTTTTAGTAATCTTTTCCTGTTGAATCAATAAATCAAATCAAGACATGTAGATGTACAAAATACCACTAATAAATTTATTTCTTTTTTTTACAGCAAGAGTAGCTAAACTGATAGAAATCAATCAATCAGACTAAGATCTTAGTGCTATTCTATGATTACAACCACAAGATTTTACATAGAATATTTGATATGTATACAGCGTAATTAAATCATAAATTCATAATCATAACAATGTTATATGAGGAATGTATTTTCTGATTTCTGAATTGATAGCCTTTCATTAAAATATAAAAAAGAAAGATGAACACAATCAGAAAAGTTTTCACTGCACAGAAATTATTCCTTTTTTTTGAGTTTTATCATCTTTGATATTTTTTTATTTTTATCCCCATTACAATTCACCATGACAGAAAGGTGGATTATGTAATAAAGACTGAACATTATAGCTGATTTTTCCACAAATATAATATTTTTATAAAGTACATTTTATGTTGTCCACTCATAAAATGGATATCTGATAACATGTTAGCTCTCAATCAGAGAAATCTCAGAGTTTGCTTGCAAATGTCGGCCGTCTCGCTTAGATTAAATATAAATAAGAATACAGATGATGTTACCTGTAGACCAGTCGGAATCCAGCTTCATTCTCAACCAGCTGCTCAGAGACCTTTACCCCCCTGTAGTACACCGTTATCCTGAAATGAGTCTCTGAGGATTCAGAAATGAGGAAAATGTTTTTAAAAATGTGCTTCACAGTTTTCTTCAAATTATAACAAAATAGTTTGGAAATGAATCATGGTTTATGTTGTTCATACTGCACAGATCAGATATTTTTAAAAACTGTTTAAACATGGGTCATTTCACTGTGTGTGTACATGTTTTTGTTACTTGGTGGGGACATTTTTTGACCATTTACCTGTGAGGACCTGCTGTTCCTTATGGGGACAAAAACTTGGCGCTCATTGGGGGAAACACTGTTGGTGGTTCAGGAGACGGGGTTAGGACTAATGTGTGAATAGAGCTGCCACAAACAATTATTTTTAAAATCGATTAATCACCGATTATTTTTTCGATTAGTCGACTAATCGGATCATACGTTAACTGAATACAAAACATACAGCTTATCGCGCCAGAATGCAGCTGCTATTATATAACCATGGTTAGATTTTAGCTATATGCTAACTAAAAATAATTGCTGTGGAAGGCAGGTTCTGCCTTGCAGATAGTGCACAGGTTTCTCTGTCATTTTCTTAAAATGATCCCACACTTTTGAGCTCCATTGCTGAGTAGCCATGATACCAGAGCCTGTCTGTATAATGTCTTGTGACGTCCACGGCCTACCCCAGTTACCACTACTGTGCATGTGTGTCAAGGACAGAAAGGCAGATGTGGCAGTGGAAGGTGTCAAAGCAGTCTGAAGAGAAAAACAAAGTAAAGAACAAAAAAAAAAAAACGATTAATCGATTATTAAATTAGAAATCGATTATTTTAATAATCGATTAGTCGTCAATTAATCGACTTATCGTGGCAGCCCTATGTGTGAAACGCATTTAGGTTAGGTTTTAGGTCAGAGATGTACTGGGGATGTTAGGGTTAGGCTGTAGAAATGACTATTAAATGAATGGAAGTCAATGTAAAGTCCCCACGAGGATGGAAGAACAAACGTGTGTGTGTGTGTGTGTGTGTGCGGACGGGTTTTTCCTACGAGAGGAAAGTTTTCCCAAAAAAGCAGCCTCGTTGGGACTGGAGTGATTTGTGGGGACCAATGCCCAGTCCCCACGTGTCCAAATGCAAATTACGGGTGTGAGGTTAGGTTTGAGACCAAGGTTTAGGTTAGTTTAAGGGTCAGGTACACTGCAAAAACTGTCCATCTTACCAAGTTTTAAAATCTTATATCGAGCCAAAAAGTCTTTTTGATCTTGTTTTGAGACTGATTTACTAAACAAGAACTGATTGTGTAAGAATAATGATCTTGTTTTCAGAATGTGTAAGATTATTTGTCTTATTAGTCTGAAAATTTGACTCAAATTAAGTCAAAATTTTTTGCCAATGC